ATCATGTGTGCTGTTTTTGCAACAGCATCACACTGTTGACTCATTCATGAAGCACCATGTAACTGGTGAGTTGGGTCCCGTGGTACACATGGGGAAACAGAGGCAGAGAATGTGACTTGCCCAAAGGCCATGCTACCAGTTTGTAGCAGAGGCAGAATTAGGCTCCAGGTATTCCTGGCCAGCAGGCCTGTGTGCAGACCACCAGCCAAGATGCCTTCCCAGTGACCGAGGAGATAGACCATGGGGCAGCGCAGACAGGGGCTCTAGTCCCAGCTCTACCATTGGCCACTGGGGGACGCGGCATGGTTCTGCCCCTCTGTATGCCTCAGTTTCCTGCCTGTCAAATGCCACCGCCCTCCGTTGCGCACGGGCCCAGCTGGAGCTGACCAGCCCTGCAGTCAGCCGGGGGCGGGAGGGGTTCTCGCCGGGCAGAGTCGGGCGCTGCCCCCCCCCCTCCGTCGCAGGCGGCCCAGCGCGCTCTGCCCCTTTAAGCGCCGGCTGCTTTGCCTGGCTCTGCCCCCTCGCTGACAGCACCAGCCACACGCCTGTGCGCGGAGCCCCGGCCGCGGGCGGCACCAGCCCGGCTCCAGGCAGGACGCGCGGCGCGCTCCCACTGCAGCTCTCTCCATGGCCGCCCCTGCCCGCGCGGAGCTGGGCGCCAGGGGCCGGGCACCAGCCTCCCGGGGCGGGCGAGAGGGCGGGATCTGAGCCGCTCGCCGCTGGGCCCCCCGCCATGTGGGCAACTCCGGCGCACCCCCGCCAGCAGCCCAGCCTGGGGCCGAGCCCCGCGCCCAAGGAGCGGCCGCTGCAGCGGTAGCCGTCCCGGTTGCAGTGCCCAGCCCACTAGCTCCGGCGCGGCCGGTGGCAGAGCCCGCCCGGCGACCTGCGGGACCCCCAGGAGGGCTGTGTGTCGGCCGGAGACCCTGGCACCTGTGGAGCGGCCCACGGGCTCCATTCGCACGATGGGCCACCGGAGCGAAGGCGAACGAGTGGCACTGCACCGCGGCGCTGGCGACGGGGGGAGCGCGGCCGCCTCCCCCGCACACGGCGCGGCAGCTCCCCTCCTCCTGTGAGCAGGTTCCGCTCCTCCACTCGCGGCGATCCAGCCAGAATAACAACAGGGCGCTCCCCCTCCCCCGCCCGTCTCCCCTCTCCGCGCTTCCTGCCCGCCGGCAGGCTCTGCTCCAAGGGGCGAGGCGGGGACAGATCAGGATGGCATCTCCCGGGAGCAGCAGCCAGGAAGAGCCGCGGAGCTGGCCCTCGTGACCCCAGGGCAGCCGCAGCCGGAACCCTTGCGCTGGAAACGGAGAGCCGGATCGGTTTTGCTCGCTGCTGGGTAGTAAGTGGCTGGTTTCCGTGGCTTGTGGCTCTCGCGGGGTGGCTGGTAAATAAACTTTGCGGTAGCAGAGCCGCCGGCCCGGCGACTTTTGACAGGCCGGTGCGGCGCCCCAGCTGCGCGCAGAGCCGGCAGCCAGAAGCTGGGGTGCAGCCTCCTCGTTTAACCTCCCCTAGCGATGGGGACTCGTGGCTGGCTACTGCGCCGGGAGGGACTGGGCATAGAGGGAGTCCGGGGGGGAGAGGGGGGACTGGTTCCTTTTGCTGACACGAACAATCCCCGCGGAGCCGGCTCCAAATCTGGGTCACCTCCCCCCTCCCAGGAAAGAAAGGGTCGGGGATGGGAGGGGGGACCCTTGCGATCCTGGCTCGGAGGTTGGCGCCCCGGGGTCCTGGCTCGGGGGCTGGGCTCCGGGCGCTCCGCTGGCCCTGGCAGGGATGGATGGGGCGAAGCTGTCCCGCCCCGCACAGCCAAGGGCTAGTCCGGCCTTCGGGGCCCCTGCCCGGCTCGCATCGTGACGCGCTGCTGGTCTCTCTCCGCAGCAGGCCGGCGGACCCCCGAGCCCCAGGACACCCGCCCCAGCCCTGGAAGTCGCCGTGGATCTTGCGAGGCGTTTTCCGAGCTCGCCCCTCTGCGAATATCCCAGGAGCATCGTTCGCTGCCCTTGAGCCAAGTGGGCGAGGCTCGCCCGGACAGGTGGCCGCTGTGCCCGGAGCCGGCCCATGGGGGCTCCGTGCGCGGCACAAGCGAGGCTGGGAGGCTGAGCAGGTGGAAGAGGCGGCGCTGCTTCCAGCCTCTGCGGGACATCCGGAGCGATGCCCTCTCTGGCGAGCCGGCGAGCCCCTGGCAGAGGGGCAGTGCCCGCCCTCTCTCGCTAGCCGGGAGCAGGGAAACGATCGCTCTGGGCCCGTCTGCCAGTGGATCTCCCCCGGCCATCTGCTGAAGGCGGCTCCCTGCGCCCGGGCAGCGCTCCGGTCCCATGGGCGTGCGGCTGGGTCCCGGGCGCGGAGCTCGGTTAATCTTGGCCCGCGACCCGCTGCTGTGAGCGGCCGGGGCGAAGAGCGGCGGGAGGCAGAGCGCGGCTGCGGCTCTCTGGCGCGTGGGACGTTAAGATGGTGAGTTCTCCCCGGGCTAGAGGGGCTCCGCGGAGGCAAGGCCGGGCTGGGGGAGAGCAGCATGGACAGCGCCGAGCGCCCAGGCAGCTTATGAAGGATGAGCTCCGGGGACTCGCAGGACACGCAGCCCAGTGAAGATCCCGCTGGCGGCAGCAGCAAGGAGAGGGAGCAGATCAGGTGCCGCATGAAAATGGTGATCGGGCAGCTGGAGGGGATCCTGCAGGAGCTCAAGGAGGTAGCCAAGGAGCTCCGGGAGGTGAGCGCCGCTGGGGCGGGAACGCCATGGGGAGCCCCAAAGCGGGCCAAACTTCCAGGCTTTGCCATGCCTAAAGAATTCCCCTCATGGAGCAGGGCTGGCTCGGAGGAGCAAACTGTTGTGGGTACAGCCTGTGTGTGTGTGTGTCCTCTATTGTGGATACTGTGTGTCTGTCTGCTGTCTCCCCAGCCCCTATTGTGGGTGCAGTGTGTGTGTGTCAGTTCCTCCCTCTATCCCAGTTCCCTATTGTGGGCACAGCCTCTGTGTGTGTGTGTGTGTGTGTAGGGGGCAAATTAGATTCCCCTATTGCCCTGAAACCCAGACAGTCAAGTCACCAGTGCATATCCTGACTGCTGACACCCCCCTCCCCCACCATGTCAGTGGAAAATCCAGCCCCCATTTCTATGCCTTCCTCTATCTCCAGGTTCAGGATAGCCTTTCACAGGAGAGAGGTGATGCCCCCCAAATGAGCGAATGCAATAGCTCAGTCCCAGCAGTGCCCTTAGCACGGCCACCTGTGCCTGTTTTGTTTTTATGGTGGATGATTTCCAAGAAGCAAGAAGAGCTCCCGATTGCCCTTGACTCCATTGATTTCAATGCCATGGGCTGTCCAACTCCACACTGGATCAGGCCCAGTGTAGAGCTAAGGGCATCTGACCCCTGGTGGATTGGGTCCAGTAGGCCCCCACGTGGATCAGGACCTAATATACCAAGCTGTGCCTGTGAATCACAGAAGTAACCTAGACATTCCACCTGTGTGAACAGTGTAGTAGAGCTAGTGTTGTTTGGGTTCCCCATTGGCTATTATGACTTGCTGTGCTTTGGACTGTAAAGTGCTGCAGTCAGGTCGTTTTTTTACATTTAATTTCCTTCCCTTCTTTAAAGAAAAGGGGGTGGAGAAAGGAGACACATGCCTGTTCTTAAATGATACCAAATAGGCATTGCTTCCTTAAGGTTGATCTGATGAATCCAATTGAATGTTTAGCTACAGTTTGGTGCATGCTGCCCTGGCTGGGTGACAAGAGTAGCAGCCTTCCAGTTTGGCATTGTGAAGATTGGATCTTTGCAGCAGAAAGAGAGAAACTTAATGATTTGGGGGGAGGGAGAGTTAATTGGGAGTTGGCATAAAATTGTAGAATGCAGCAAATCTCACCGAGAAACCCTGAAATCAAAGGATCCAGGAGGCTCACACCTAACCCTCAGGTCAACAATTCTCCTGTCCCCTATACGAGTGAATTTTGCCATAGAAGCAAGTTATTTCCAACCTCCCTTGGCTGGTTTGTCCAAGTGGCAGGCCTGCGTCTATCAGACCAGGCAGGGAGCAAGTGCTGTGATGTCACAAACTGGGTGGTGCATCAACAGGGTCTGCTAAAATCTCAAGGCCAGATTCTCAGCTAGTGTAAATCAATGTGGCTCCGTTGATTCCCACAGCCCTTTGCTGGTTTACACCAGCTGAGGATCTGGCCCTTAGATGGTGAATGAGCATGCTCCAGGGTTTTTGTTCCATTCCCCCAGCCATGAAGCAGCAGTAGCTGAAGGGGCTGGCTCAGCTTTTCCAAAGGGTGTGGCACCAGCTGTGGGCAGAAATTTGGGACATTTCCCTGTGTGAAAATAGAAGCTCCTACTGGGAATCATTTGGGCATGACTAGCTTTCTCTATAATGTGTCCATGAGAAAACATACTAAGCCACATTCAACTGTGGCTGAGCTCCAAGGGTATCTTTCTTTGCTCTTGCTGCCCCTCCATCGCTCCTCCCAAGGCTGGATTGTGCCTGGGCCTGTGTGGTGGGCAGCATCGCAAGGAATTCCCCTCCCAAACCTTGCACCCCTGTGCAGGGGAAATGCATAGAATGGCTGGGAAGCAGAGCTGCTGCTCCAGGGACCTGATCCAAACCCTTGGAGTCAACGGGAGTCTTTCCATTGTCTCTAGTAAGCCTTGGATCAGACCCCATCTTAGCACTGCTGGCAACACTAGTGATGTGGCAAAGGCAGGGGCATGGATGCAAAGGGGAGTGCACATGACACGCAGTCAAAGTGGGGAGGAGCTGATTGAGCTAGCCAGATCCCCACTTGGCATTGGAAGCCGTATACCTCTCCGTGCCTCTTCTTGGCCAGAGCTCACAGCCACAATCCAGCTCTGGTGCCTTGCCCAAAATAACCCATCTTGGAAAATAATAGCACAGAGCTTTAAAAAAATAGCCAAGGATCAGTGACTGGGTGGGGAGATGCAAGCAGCAATTGCATAGGAATCTGTGGGGTAAATCCTGCTGCACTTATCTCTTGGCTCATTGGAATTCCTTCAGGGCGAAGAATCTGTGGGCATGAAGGTTGAAAAGGGTTTGCAGAGGACAGAGGGGCAGGTTGCTTATTGTGGCTTGTTGCTTTGCATCTCTCTCCTGACTCAGCCCAGCCTGTGCTGTGGGAGGTGCAGGCAGCAGGAGAAACTCTGCGTGTCTGAGCAATGATCAAACCCTTCTTGAATTACTGCTTTCAGCACCAGAGAGTCAGTGAAACACAGGCAGTCCCCTCTTTGCCCTAAGGGCCACTTTGGAGCCTAGAAGGCATCATGCACCATCAGGACCATCTGGTTGGTATTTGCCTATGGGGTCACATTTGGTTTGTTGGGGGGCCTTTAGGCAAACTTGTAGCCCTGCTGCGGAGATGCAGTTGGCCAGAATCATGGGTGGCTTGATGGAAGGAAAAGGCCAACCAGCTAGCCATGTGTTATGTGACTAACAGCTAATCCTTCTCCCCTTTGGAGAGTGATCGATACCTGCCAAAGGGGAAGATTAGAAATGATAACACTAGACTAGGGAGCAGAGCTAGGGCTTGGTGGGAAGAAGAGAGAGAAAGCAGGAGTGTTGGTAGCTGCTGTCCTGTGGCTGGAAACACAATAATAGCTCTAGAAGAGAAGGGTCTTTCAGCTCCCCGGAAAGGAGGCTGGGCCATGTGGTTAAGGCATAGGAAGGTGTTCTGGCCTAGTCCTGGCTCTGTGACCTTCAGCAAGTCACTTGGCCTTTCCATGCCTCAATTTCCTCCCCTGTAAAACAGGGAGAGTGATATTTATCTGCCTCACCAGGCTAAATCCTGTCATGTCCCTAATGTGCTTTGAGATCCTCAGAGGGAAGGGTGAAGCATTGTTCTTGTAACAAATCCTGAGAATCGGCCTAGCAGAGTGATTCAGACAGAAAGCTCTAGTAATGGAGGCTGAGCTGGGAAAGCGCCTAAAACGGGGCACCTTTGCGCTTTAGGTGATGTCAAATGAAGAGTGCCCACTGGAGATGATCAGATGCTCTTGCTTAGTTGGAGTCCTTCATCTCGAGGCTGGATTCTTGGCACCTGTGTGTTTTTGACTCTGCAACTGAGACTCCTGTGGGATCCTGTCTGAACTGATAAACAGAGTGGGATGAGGTCAGGTCAGTGCAGGGATGAGGCCAGGTCAGTGCTGGAATGAAGACCTCCAGGGAAAAGCCTAGAGGTGGGGTTGGATGATTCAGTGCCTGAGTTGCCCTGATTCTGCCAGGTCGTGATTCTGAGAGAATGCACATGTGAGCTGAGGGGCAGAAGCCAACCCTCTTCCATCTAAGTCAGGACTGAACCAACGCGGTTGCAATGTTTAATGGGTGAGATGTTATATGGAAATCCTGAGCACTTATGCACTTTCAAGGCCTGTTGGAACTTTTCACAACAGCAAAGGGCCTTATGGCCAACCTCCTGGCCAAATGCCACTATGGCTAATTATACCCAACCACTGCCATTTCAATCAGATGCATTTTTCTTCTTCGCTTCCTGGCTCATTGTTGCTCCAAGCTGTCACAAATAATGCAGCTGCCCAGCCTCAGCCCGGAAGAGAGAGAATGTCAGGGGCTGCTGAAGTGTTTGCTGTATGTATTAATCTGTAACGTGTTTTGAGATCCTTCAGACTGGAAGGCAGCAAGATCCGTGGGGAAAAGTGCTCGGTAAGAGCCAGTTGTCATTATTTATTAGCACGCAAAGTTTCAAAGAAGCTGCCTGTTCCAAGCTGACCCCCCAAGAGCTGAGATAAGCCTTCCTTATCCACACCTAGCACCCCAGTTTTGCCAGCAGGTTGGTCATTGCCTTCCCAATGTGAATCCCCACCAGGGAAAGTGCTTTATGGTTAAAATAGGGGACATGGTCAGTGTCCATTAAGCAAAGCTTGAAGTGGCACTGGCTCCCACCTGAGATCCACAGCTTGACCTACTTCTGAACGGCTGTGCTCTGACAGGGGCTACCCTCGGCACTGGAAGCAGTGTTTTGAAAGGGCAGTTTGAAAAAGCACATTTGTGCCTGACCATGGAAGCCAAGGCACACCTATGATTGCTGAATCTGAAAGGAATACAAGGGAGAATTTTTCTTCCATTTGTTTTCTTCGTGTACTTGAACCCACTTGGTGTAGAATCAGTTTCACTGATTCCACGGTGTACTCCATCAGTCGTTATCTCCCTTGGAGAAAAGACCCTTCTAAACATCCGCAAAGGAGCTGAAAAACCCTTATAAAAATCTTGTAAAGGATTAAAAAAAATAATCAGAACTTGAAGCTGGTTTTTCATCTACACTGAGATCTCTGTACACAGCCCCAGCAGCTTAAAGGAGGCTTACAATGAGAGTGGACTCACTTTATGGCCCACTTTCATAGATATTTATAGATTCATAGATATTTAAGGCCTAGTGGGACCATTCTGATCATGTCTGACTTCCTGCATAACGTGGCCAGAGCAGTGTAAAGAGGACTGAAGGTAAAGGACAATCTGGGCCATGCTGTTTAAAGGGTGCACTCGCAGAATCAAACTCGGGGGAGGGGGGTTCAACTGGAATTACTGATTTAAAAAAAAAATCAGATGGATGGTGTTCCGTTGGAGAAGAACACTTGATCACCCACTCACGGACTCCGCCCACCAGTTCACCCCTGCCATGTCATAAACAACAGTATTTGAATTGGGCAAAATCTTTCTTGAGACTCTGCATTGAAATTTTTAACCT